GAGAAAATACTAGCAGGAATTTTTTTTCCACTAATGTCTCCTGTTGAGAAGGTTTTTTTGGTTTGTTTTTTTAAAGCCTGGCTATGTAAATCAATACCAAGTTATTTCTTTGAATTCAAAGGCTATTTATCCAGGTCTAATTTCTTTAGAATTAACGTGATAATTGAGCCCAACTTAGCAACCAAACCCAACCAGGCCCTGCCCGGTTTGAATATGCTTCTACATCTTGAGGGGGCTGAAAACCCTACCCATTCCCTGATCTACCGGTGTGCTGCAGACACCCAGCCACAGCTAGAGCAGCAGGGGACTTTCCCACCCAAAGAGCCCATTGCTCCACAGTGGCCTTGCGCACACTGACTTGCTATCTTGTGTTGGCAAACCCGTGAGGATTTCTCTCTCAATAACACTGACGCCGGAATACAAGCCCCAACACCTGGACACCCTAAAGAGCAAAAAGCAGCTTAGGCCTCAAATCCTGCTTCTTCAAACTTCTTCCTGAATGAGACCCTCACCTACTACAAGCCCTGAAAGAGCCTTCGGCCTCCGAGTCCCCCAGATTGCTTCTATTTTGAATGATAAAGACTTAGAGGCCTCGCCTGCCCTTGTCTTCCTACCCTGCTGCGTTGGCCCAGGTTCCCCAGGCGGCGGGCGAGACAAAGGGGTAGGAGCCAAGGCCCCGGTACCGCTGAGACCGGTGCTGGGGCTTGGAGCCCCTGGGGGTGCGCTTTCGCAGCGAGGCCCTGAAGAATCCCAGAAGGGCCGGCGGTGCTGGCTGGGCTAGAACGAACCGGGGGTGACTCCAACCGCCTTGCCTGAAGCTCATCACTGCCGCCGGTGTCGCTGAGCGAAGAACTCGGAAGCTGAGATGCCGGGATCAAGTGGAGAGAAATAGCGGTGGGGAGAGGCCCCCCGCCACAGCCAGCCACTGCGCGCAGAGCTGCTTGTACCCAGGCTGGTGGCGGACACCCACGGCGCGCCGCCTCGGCGCACTGTGTGGGGCCAGACCCGCTCTCCCGCTGGCTCCTCTCGGGACTGGCCAGAAAGCAGGACGAACAAGCCTGCAGTTTGGATTCTATCCAGCAAGTGCACAGAGACCACTATCAAGCTGGGAGGAACCCCTCGCTCGCCCCGCTTCCCAGCCCCTGACTCACTGCCTGGGCCCAATCTGGGCGGCTCAGCGGGTCTCAGCAGGGCCTTTACCGTACGCGCCAAACAACTGCTACCTCGGCGCGGCTGTGCGCCTGCTCCTCCGGAACACAATACGGGAGTTTCAGCGCCCATCTCATGGGGGAGGGATGACAGCCCTGCGGCTGCAGCCCAGACAACCCCAGGCCTCAGGGCTTCCTCCGCATTAAGCATACAAGGAAAACAAACAAACAAAAAAACCCAAAACAAAAAATTTTGCAAACAGAGACTGCTGCCTGGCTCTGGTGTGGGTGCGGGAACCTTCCGGCCCGTGACGCCCCGCGCCGCCCGTGGTGCGGTGCGGCCCGAGTTGGGGGAAGCCGGCCGGAAAGGAAAGCAGTGCACCTGCGAGCATAAAGACAGAAACATGGACAGGCAC